TTTTTGCAGTTAATGCGTCATGGACCGCGAACTCCAGTAAATACATATCCCAACGATCCCTATCGCAATAATACGTTTTATCCTTATGGCTGGGGGCAGTTGACAAATGTAAACCAAATATTAACAAAAATAATCATTTGATTTAATTAATCATAAATGTTATTTTATTTAACAGAATGCTAAGGCCGAACTTTACAAATTGGGAAATTGGTTACGAATGCGGTACAAGAATGAATTAGGTCCTTATTTCTTCAATGACGTAAGAATTTAATTATTTTGTTTGTTATAATAACAAATAAATAATATTAAATACTTTTTTTCAGTTATTATATGCACAAGCTACTGTTTCTGGGCGTACTCATATGACCTTAGCTACACTCTTTGCGGCAATGTTTCCACCAAAGAATTCTCTAATGGAATGGAATACTAAGTTAAATTGGCAACCAATACCAATATACTCATTACCTGAAAAGGATGATATTGTAATTATTTAACATAAATTAATTTAAAATATAAAAGATTTATAACTGTTTTTCATATATTTTTAAAGTGGCTAAGAATGCAAGTACCTTGCCCACGATACGATCAAGCTTTTCAAGAGGCATTACAGTTACCTGAAGTAGCTGCAGAACATGCGGAAAGTCAAAGTTTATTCGATGAGTTGTCCGAAATAACTGGTACCAATATTACTACTGCCGATGATGTAAACACTATTTTTGTAATATTACAAGCACAGGTAAATTATTAATAATTAATTATATAAATGATATAAATAGTTAATATTCATATATTTTACAGGAAGCATACGGCTTAAAATTACCGGCATGGACTAAAAAATACTATCCAGAAAAATTAAGATTTATGGCTGAGCAAACCTATGTTTACAATGCTTACACCCCTGAATTGCGTAAATTAAAGGGTGGTCCATTTGTTCAGAAAATGTTCAACGAGTGGCAAAGTAAAGCAAGAGGTGAACTTGTACCAAAAGATCGTAAATTCTTCATGTATGGTGCACATGATTGGACTCTTACTAACGTATTAGCAACTATGAATGTATGGAAACGTGCATTTCCACGTTTTTCAGCAATGGCATTATTTGAATTGCATAAAGATTTAGACACCGAAGAATATTATGTTGAAGTATGTTTGCTGTTGTAATATAAAATTATTCTATTTTTTATAAATCAATTATATTCTATTTACAGATTTATTATAAATATGATCCAAACAAACCAGTTAAAAGACTAACTGTACCTGGTTGCGAATTTCAATGCCCATTGGAAAAACTTATTAAGCTTACTAAGGCTGTTTTGCCGAATGGTATTTATGAAGAGATGTGTGAACCTAAAAACACGAGTACTTAATTTTTTAAAATTAATTTTATAGGTTAGTTCAGTTTTTTCTATAGAGACGGTTTATTGTGATAGTTATACTCATAAATTTAGAAAATAGAATTTATTTATTTATTAGTCTTAATATCTGCACAATTCAAGTATTATTTACCTACAGTGTACAGCAGTTTCCGCAGTAATTGGTAAAGGAATGTGTTTCCTTATTTAGAGGTTCCTTTTTTTTTAAAGAATGTATGTATAGAATTAAGTAGAGAATAATAAAATTTTACCAAAAAACTTTATTTAATTTTTTTTTATTAAATCAGTTAGATCTTTATAAATATTGTTAAGATGTTATTATCATGTTTAATAGACATGGGCGTAACCAAAAGCATTGTTTAGAGCAATGTTCTTCTCAATTATTTAACTTAAAAAAATTGTGGTTTGGGCTCGATTTTTGGCTTAAAAGTCGAAAAATTAAATTAAATTGAAAAACAAATTAAATTTTTTGAATAAAAGCTAATCATTTGAAAAGTTGATGAGCTGATCAGCTTGCAGCTTAATAAATTTATCCTATTCAATATTAGATACAAACTTGTAGTGATTGAATTACATTAGGCCTATTCTGTTGTAAGCATGTCGCAATAGAACAAATAAAATAATCACTACTTCCGATGGCAACTCTGGACCATAAACCTAGCAATGGAAATTTTGCTAGGTTTATATATGCAAAACACATAATAAAATTTAAACATAAAATTTCGAAAATGAATAATAATTCTTTGTAATTATTGGTAAGAATATATTTTTACATAATTGTGAATAAAATATACATTTTCATGCCTTTTAACAGTAAAGTAATAAATAGAAACAGTAACGTATTTGTTACGAACAATGACGACACGAAAAACGAATAATTAACGAAATCATTCGTTGGCAGTTAACTGGAAATTTCGTGGGTACCAAAAGTCGTTCACAATAGATGATTTTTAGTCTTGGTAACCATGCGATTTGAGCTGCTTATTAGTTAGCGATTTCAAATAAGTGGGAATAAATAAGCTAGCAGTGTTGTTGTTTCATATGTTATTTTTAAAATAAGCCGGTTGTTTTTTTGTGATATGTTTACAAAAGAAAAGAACTGTTTATTGCCTGTCAAATTGACATTGAAAAAGAGATTGAACGATTTACTGAGCTGAATTGATAATTCTTTGGAGAAAAGGATTCCGTTTGATGGTATATATACTATAACAAAACATAATAATTTTACCGGAACAGAATGGAATGCCAGAAACATTATGAATTATTGAAAAAAATCTGTGGGCAGATTATAAAATAAAAATAAGGAGAAGTATTTTAGTATTATAAAACAAATATTAATAAGTTCGCGATATTTACCTATACTTCTAAAAGCAATAACATTATTTTGATTACAGCATTTTGATTACAGCATTATTTTGATTACAGAACTCCCATATTATTTTTATTTTATTTGATATCTAAAGTAGATTTCTAAATTAAAAATTAGAAGTTGTAATACACTACGAGAAATCGTTTTTTGTTTATATCTCCATGGCTGCGCATAGATTGTTTTTCAATATTAGATTAAGCAGCTCAAAATAAGTCAAAAAAAATTTTTAACAGATGTTAAATTTTATATTATTAAGTAAAACAAATTTGGTTTAGAAATATTTACGGAGTTATTTAAGCATGTCTGTACGGTACCACATTTTAAAGCTTGTTCTATCACGATCTATTCGCGTTTTTTAATAAAATATTTGAAGATAAAGATTTAAGAACAGCTGTATGGTTAGCCAAAAAATCAATTAATTAAAATAATTTAAAAAAAAAAAGAAATGTTGTTGTTGTAGTTTACTACTTTTCGAATACCTTTTTATGAAATATGTTATAACTATTATAACGAAGTATATAGAGCTCTCTTTAAAAGCTCTATACATTAATATTGTATTAGTCTTTAAAAGCTCGATTCATTAATATTGTATTAGTTTTAAGGATTGATTTAAAAACAAAGTTAGTCTTAAGTAAACTCGTCTTGCGAAGTGACTCAATATAACAAAATATACTAGTTTCTATCACATATAATGGGTATTTTCGTCTTAAAAATGACGTTAAATTACAACTTATATTCAAAAAATATTGGTCTCGCTCGTGCGAAACGTAAAGTAACGTTAGCATGACTTTCTCAGTATTACGATCCTAGAATAGGTTCTATATATAAGAAAGAGTATATAAATCATCTAACAAAAAATGCCTCTACAAACAGAATAGTATTGAAATTTAACAATTAAAAAAATACAAAATATAATTAATTTATTCAATTATTCTACAGATAGTTTATGATTTCGTTCTAATATAATGCTGTGTTAATAAACTTTCGCAACAAACTAATAAATCTCCAAAAAATGTGCGAACATAAAAGTCAAGTACGGCTTTGGGTCAGTTAGTTGAGCAGTGCTGACTCTAAGCTTCAAATTTGGCAGGTTACGAGTTCGGTTTCTGGTACTTGCAGCCTCAAAAAATTATTTACGAATAATTAAAATACAAGAATTTCCAAGACCACTGATGATATAAAAAACAATTTTTGTTGTTGTAGTTCACTACTATTCGAAAAGCTCTTAATACAGATTTGAAAAAGAACAAAATAGAAGAAAAAAAAATGTGTATTGAATTAAACTTATAACTCTTTAATTAATAATTTATTTTGATTAAGTATATTGATTTAAGCATTTTAAAGTCTTGTGTATCTATGAAAATTAATATTAACACATCCAAAATCTATATTCAAAATATAATTATGTGTTTCAAATTAAAAAATTAATCTCACACAAATATTTCATTAAATGAAAATCGATAATTAATATTTTAAAATTAATATAGTTTTTATACATATATCAATAATGTGATTTTAATATTCATTTAATTGAAGTAATGAATACAAAACAGTATGTTATTAAAATAAAAGCTCATAACTATAAATAAAAAGTTCATCTAACTATAAAACTCAAATATAATTTTAAAACCTGATGGAGACTAATTATATTTAACGATAACCAGTATTTGCATGGTTAAACTATATTTGCTGAAATTTAATTTGATAAAGTTTGTCATAAATGGATTTATGGTAGTCATATTACACAAAGTAAACTTAAGCACAATTTTCGCAATTTGGTGCGAATATTTGTATGTGATTTTTGTCTGGGATTTCCTTTTCTTTTTTTATTTTAAAAAGTATATCAGAGTAAGTTGTGAATATGTTACAGTCATCACCTCAGACGAAGCATATGCGTAAATTCCTATTAGTGAATGGTTCTTTTTTCTTAATAAAAATTTCATTCATTTATGAGATTACACACTTCTATTAATAATGTAAAAACTTTCAATAACCTATTTATATAAATTCCAGGTAATTATTATGCAGATTAATTATTCATTGTAATACTTTGATTAATTCAGTAAATTGTGTGAACCAATAACTAGTGTAGTAAATCCCAAGTAAATGTTATTAAAAAAATAATGCAAGCAGTTAGCTTCTATTTAGAACAAAAGCCATCAAAAATTTAGTTGCGCCGACATTTTCAATCGGGTTTACCAGACTAAACACCGTATTTATCTAAGTAATTCGCGTTTAGCAAATAGTTTATCTGTAGAGTGTGACGCGTTGCTATAGTCGGAAATTTGTCTAGTTGTCTAAATTCGCTGAGGTTAAAAGCTCGACCAATTCTGGTATTGCAGTCATTAAACACCGTTCAGTTCATTCAGAAACATGGGGTCTCGCGTGCCGCTTGCCATATTTTGCTTTTTTGCAATTTTTAACGTGAATGCAGTTTATAGTTATCCATCATCCGCTTCTTCTAATGCCGGGAAAAATTCAACTTTACAACTTGTGCATATGGTAATAATTTTTATGCTATTTGTAAAATTTTTTTGTGAGATTTTCATAAATGTTTAATATATAAATTTTAAAAAATGTTGGTGGTGCTCTATATATGTTAACTATTTGAATGTGTTTAGAAATTTTAACGATTAAAAAGTTTATAAGTTTTTGAAAAATGTGAAATATTATGGTCTGGAAATTTATATTTACTGCAGAATAATTCTGCGTATCAAAAAGCTTAAAATTAAAAGTTTGATATATTGTTTCATTGACATAAATAATTATAATTCGATTATAAAATATTCTAGTTTTTTTGTTAATTTGAAAAAAGCATTTTTTATGTTAAAAAATTAAATGAAAATGTTATTCAAAATTTTTAATTTGAAACCAAATTGAAATGATAAAGTTTGTCATTTTAAAACGAAAATTAATTAAATTAAAAAGTTTGAATATGTTAGTAATTGTATTAGTACAGAAATAGAAATCACTAAAACTATATTTTATTTTAAATTATATATAAATTCAAATTAGATTTTTTAATTAATTAATTAAAAATCACTTTGAATATTTTAAAGCTGTTATTAATTATCCTGACGTTGATAGAGAGTTTAAAAAAATACAAAATAAAATAAAATAAATGAATAAAATAAAATGAATTAATATTTAATATTTATTTAATGTTTAAAAAAAAAAAATTTTAAATTCAAAAATCAGCTTAAAATTAAAATTAATAGCTTTAAACATTTTAACAGTGTTAATAATTATCGTAATATAGAAACAGAATTTAAAATAATAATAAAATTAATATAACTGTCAGCTTAAAATTAAAAATTTAATTTTTAAATTCAAGTAGAAAAAAATTTTTATAATTTGTAATATAAGTCATCATTTTTATAAATTAAAATTAAATCAAAGTTATTAGTTTTGTCAGTTTAAAATTAAAAAGAACAAATTTAATCAATTTAAAAGTGATATTAATTATCCTCTTATAAAAATAGAAGTTTAGAACAAAATTTATAGCTTAATTGCATTAACATTCAGATATATTTATTTATTCAAAAATATTTATTTATAGATATTATATGCAACTTTTTTAAAAAGATATTTTCTAAATTATTTTGATAGCAGATAGATAGATAGATAGAGTTAAAAATGTATTATATTTTAATGTGTAAATTTGTATATTCTTATAAATTTCTTATAAAATTATTTTCGTGAGTGTTATGATATGATTATTTTTTTAATCAATTAAATATTTTGATTAAAAAAATTTATTTCGTTTTTAAGTTTGAAAAAAATAATTTATTTCTTTTTTTTAATTAAATTTTTAATGTACTTTGACTGCAATAATATATTTATGAAATAGTTTATGTATTTTTGCGTAACTAATTTAATATATGGTAAATTTGAAAAATGATTTATCAATATATAAATAATTAATAATAAATTTTGAATTCATCATATATAATGTATATTAATTAAATTGGTAATATTAATTGGATCAGTAGAAAATTTACTTTTTTATAAATTCTAAAAAATTCATTTCAATTTCATATTTATTATTTAGTGTTCAATATTTCGTTATATTATATTACAGTTTATATTCCTTATTATTAATTATACAAATTAAAGTTGGTTCCTTGTTGAGAAAGTTGATAAGTGCAATTTTAATATACGATTTTGGGATTACTATACAGATATTAAGTATTCAACATATTTTTCATACATAAAATTGATGTATTTAATTCTTTTAGATTTATATGTGCATTAGTAATCAACGTTTTAATATTTCTGCTTAGAAAAATACAAGTGATTATTCTTTAAAACCAAATATAATTGGAAAATACGCATAGACAGTTTTTGTTCAATTGCTAAAAGAAGTTGTTCAAATAACCATTATAATAAATTACTTGGTTTTAAATTCCATAAATAGTTACAAATTTGAGTAATAAAACTATATGCTGGGGATTTTTCTAAATTTATTTACAATTATTTTGATTTGTTTCAAATTGTAAATTTTTTTAATTAAAAGTAAATTAAAACTCAATAACAAGTTATATATTTCGAAATTAAAGAAGAGTGAAGAGTGGTTTTTTTAATAATAGCTAATTTTGATTTGATTACATTAATTAATAAAAAACATATGAAAATATCTGTATAAGATATCTTATTTTGTTTTTTAAATAATCATATACATAGGTATATATTGCAATATCATATGTTTTAATATGAAATATGATACAAATACCGATAAACAATAGAAGATGACTATCGGAACCAGAGGGACCTACTACAGATTACTGCAATTATAATACATTTTATCTTATTTAATTTTGTCATTCACTTCAACAATTATATGATTTAAATATATATTCATATTTTATGAATATTTATTTGCGTAAGACATTATTTGAAATTATTTAAATTTAAATGCACCTTTAAGAGCGCTTCAGTTTTTTTTTTAAATTCAGAATTGTTATTAGTATTTATAAATAAAAAATATTTACTTTACGATTAACAGTCAATATTGTTCTATAATGTATAAATTACTCTTAACTATAATATTTCACATGTTATTCATATTTTAATTTCATGTGTTAGATATATGTGTATTTAAATCAATTGTATAATTTATTATATAATTTAGTAATTAAAAATTCTATAAAACTTAAAATATTGGAAGTAATGTATGTTAATTATTCTTATTGAGTGAATATTTATTTTGAGAATATTGCAATAAATAAAAAAACATTTAACTTAAGAATGCAGTAGCAAAATAGTTTGTATTTACTGAAATTATATTTATCTTGTAACAACTAAATTAAACAAGACACAAATATTTTTTTAATTTTTTGCAGTTAATGCGTCATGGGCCGCGAACTCCAGTAAATACATATCCCAACGATCCCTATCGCAATAATACGTATTATCCTTATGGCTGGGGGCAGTTGACAAATGTAAATAAAATATTAACCAAAATAATCATTTGATTTAATAAATCATAAATGTTATTTTATTTAACAGAATGCTAAGTCCGAACTTTACAAATTGGGAAATTGGTTACGAATGCGTTACAAGAATGAATTAGGTCCTTATTTCTTCAATGACGTAAGAATTTAATTATTTTGTTTGTTATAATAACAAATAAATAATATTAAATACTTTTTTTCAGTTATTATATGCACAAGCTACTGTTTCTGGGCGTACTCATATGACCTTAGCTACACTCTTTGCGGCAATGTTTCCACCAAAGAATTCTCTAATGGAATGGAATACTAAGTTAAATTGGCAACCAATACCAATATACTCATTACCTGAAAAGGATGATATTGTAATTATTTAACATAAATTAATTTAAAATATAAAAGATTTATAACTGTTTTTCATGTATTTTTAAAGTGGCTAAGAATGCAAGTACCTTGCCCACGATACGATCAAGCTTTTCAAGAGGCATTACAATTACCTGAAGTAGCTGCAGAACATGCGGAAAGTCAAAGTTTATTCGATGAGTTGTCCAAAATAACTGGTACCAATATTACTACTGCCGATGATGTAAACACTATTTTTGTAATATTACAAGCTCAGGTAAATTATTAATAATTAATTATATAAATGATATATATAGTTAATATTCATATATTTTACAGGAAGCATACGGCTTAAAATTACCGGCATGGAGTAAAAAGTACTATCCAGAAAAATTAAGATTTATGGCTGAGCAAACCTATGTTTACAATGCTTACACCCCTGAATTGCGTAAATTAAAGGGTGGTCCATTTGTTCAGAAAATGTTCAACGAGTGGCAAAGTAAAGCAAGAGGTGAACTTGTACCAAAAGATCGTAAATTCTTCATGTATGGTGCACATGATTGGACTCTTACTAACGTATTAGCAACTATGAATGTATGGAAACGTGCATTTCCACGTTTTTCAGCAATGGCATTATTTGAATTGCATAAGGACTTAGACACCGAAGAATATTATGTTGAAGTATGTTTGCTGTTGTAATATAAAATTATTCTATTTTTTATAAATTAATTATATTCTATTTACAGATTTATTATAAATATGATCCAAACAAACCAGTTAAAAGACTAACCGTACCTGGTTGCGAATTTCAATGCCCATTGGAAAAACTTATTAAGCTTACTAAGGCTGTTTTGCCGAATGGTACTTATGAAGAGATGTGTGAACCTAAAAACACGAGTACTTAATTTTTTAAAATTAATTTTATAGTTCAGTTCAGTTTTTTCTATAGAGACGGTTTATTGTGATAGTTATACTCATAAATTTAGAAAATAGAATTTATTTATTTATTAGTCTTAATATCTGCACAATTCAAGTATTATTTACCTACAGTGTACAGCAGTTTCCGCAGTAATTGGTAAAGGAATGTGTTTCCTTATTTAGAGGTTCCTTTTTTTTTAAAGAATGTATGTATAGAATTAAGTAGAGAATAATAAAATTTTACCAAAAAACTTTATTTAATTTTTTTTTATTAAATCAGTTAGATCTTTATAAATATTGTTAAGATGTTATTATCATGTTTAATAGACATGGGCGTAACCAAAAGCATTGTTTAGAGCAATGTTCTTCTCAATTATTCAATTTAAAAAAATTGTGGTTTGGGCTCGATTTTTGGCTTAAAAGTCGAAAAATTAAATTAAATTGAAAAACAAATTAAATTTTTTGAATAAAAGCTAATCATTTGAAAAGTTGATGAGCTGATCAGCTTGCAGCTTAATAAATTTATCCTATTCAATATTAGATACAAACTTGTAGTGATTGAATTACATTAGGCCTATTCTGTTGTAAGCATGTCGCAATAGAACAAATAAAATAATCACTACTTCCGATGGCAACTCTGGACCATAAACCTAGCAATGGAAATTTTGCTAGGTTTATATATGCAAAACACATAATAAAATTTAAACATAAAATTTCGAAAATGAATAATAATTCTTTGTAATTATTGGTAAGAATATATTTTTACATAATTGTGAATAAAATATACATTTTCATGCCTTTTAACAGTAAAGTAATAAATAGAAACAGTAACGTATTTGTTACGAACAATGACGACACGAAAAACGAATAATTAACGAAATCATTCGTTGGCAGTTAACTGGAAATTTCGTGGGTACCAAAAGTCGTTCACAATAGATGATTTTTAGTCTTGGTAACCATGCGATTTAAGCTGCTTATTAGTTAGCGATTTCAAATAAGTGGGAATAAATAAGCTAGCAGTGTTGTTGTTTCATATGTTATTTTTAAAATAAGCCGGTTGTTTTTTTGTGATATGTTTACAAAAGAAAAGAACTGTTTATTGACTGTCAAATTGACAGTGAAAAAGAGATTGAACGATTTACTGAGCTAAATTGATAATTCTTTGGAAAATGAATTCCGTTTCATCTTCGCAACCAACATCATTTCTAAGGAGGCTTCGAACCGATGATAATAATATATTTTTTATAGGAGAATGTGAAAGTGAAATCTTTACAGCAAGGTTGCGTTCAATGAAGCAAGTACTTCAACTCCTTTTCTATAAAATTCATGTTCAACGTCTTGAAAGAAAGTTTTAGAAGTGTGATTGCATCCGTACTAACATTTTGGCATAACGCAAGTATTCATATTCTAGCTGTATCTAATCGCAAAAAAAAAATTACAAAAACTGAACGATAAATGGAGATTATTACAACAAAGTAGAAATTTCTGAACGAAAATTAACGAATTAAAATAAAAGAGTTACGTGAAAATATAGAAAATTTTGTAGTTGATATCACAGCACATACTACTCTTAAAACAATGAAAATCCAAAAATATAACGATTTCTTAATTTAACAAATATATGGACGATTTATGTACTCGTGTTTAAGGTATTAACATATAAAAATCATGAATTGAGATTTCCTAATTTGTTTTTAACAATCATATATGAAAATATATTTTTCGAATAGCAGTGAAAGATTCTAGACTCGATATTGAGCAAAACGATAATGGATAAGATCTTATGAAACATCCATCTTCCTCGCAAGCAGCAATGAAAGAAAACATTTGAATAAGAAAACCAGATTGAAATTTTCGAGGAAAAACGCATTTCATTGAATGCTTGCTTGGATATATCTAAAATATCTACTAGAGGTGTGATTCATTTCATAAGTGCAACAGTAGCTGCATTAGGTCATCGTGTAGAAAAACTTGTTCTCATTCGTACAACTGTTCACCTGATGAGAAAAGAATACCGACTCAGATAAGCGAATGATATTTTGAAGAAATTCGATGTAAATTAGTTAAGGTTTTTACTTTTAAGTTATATTTAAGATATTTTATTACAGATTCAGCACACTTTTGTATTTCATTGGGATGGAAAACGTCTATCAGAAATGAAGGCTACAAAAAAAGGTTGGTCGATATGTTTTTTTTTTATCACAGGAGAAAATACAGAAAAAATATTTGGTATTCCGGGACTAGACTGGTAATAAAATGGCACATGCAGTTCATCAATTTTTAGTTACTTGGAAATTAGACAACATAGTTGAATTCATTCGCTTTGATACAACAAGTTCTAACACTGGTATTTAGAATGGTGGAGCGTTTTTGCTCGCGCAGATATTGGGACATAAATTATTTTTTTTCCATGTTGCCATCATATTTGCAAAACATTTTTAAAAACTGTTTTTAAATTGCATTTTGGTAGGTCATCAGGTTCTACATATTTTAATTTTTGAACGTTTTCCTCGGAAATGGAGAGATATCGATACTAAGAACTTCAAAAGTGGAATTAAAGATGAAATTGATGATCCAAATTTCAAACAGTAATGATTTCCAGGTGCAACTTAATTTGCCAGATTTATGGCAGAAGGAATTTATGTTCACAAAATGTTTCTATTTCGATATGAATTTAAGCTGACGGCAAAAGAATTAAACGCCCTAAGCAATATTTGTATTTTTTTAACTCGCTGTTATGTATAGTATTGATTTGCATGCCAGCATGCAATGGAAACGCCACGTACGGATTTAATTACAGATTCAATTCAGTATAAATTTAATAAACGAATTTTAGCAGTTTTATTAGAAAAATTTAAAAATCACATGTGGTATTTGTCAGAAGAAGCAGTTTGCTTAGCATTTTTAACCTTATAAGTTCCACTGGAAACTAAACGAAAAATGATTAAAGCTTTAGAAAAAAATAAAGATGACAATCTTTCATATTTGAAAAAATTTAAAGCGACAATTAAAGAAATAATGAATCTCGGATATAAGAATCTCATCTATTATGTTACTTCTAAGACGAAACGGTTTTTTCTTTGCATTGGAATTTCGTCCGATTTTTTAAAATACGATCCATCATTATGGGGTGAAAAAGGTGACAGTTTAAATGATTCAGTAGAAATATCTGTTAAGTTAATCAATGACTTCAATTGAGCCATAACATATGATAAACAAAAACAAACAGTACTAGTTGCAAATTGTTGAATATTATCGACACCTGACATTCATCAAGCCGAAAACATGATGAATTCCAAAAATTAGAAAAGGAATATTTTAAGAATACAAGCAAAGTGATGTGTCCAAAGTGATGATTTCCAACGCAGATAGTGACCCTACATTTATCGAACGCATCATAACTGGTGATGAGACATGTGTATATGCATTTGACATGCCTGTTTTCTTCGACATTCGTGGTGTGGTGCATTATGAATTCCTTCCGGACGGTCAAATGGTCAAACGTCATAAGGAGTTTATTTGCCGTTATGCTCGTTTGCGTGAGGCCATTGCAAAAAAGGCCAGATTAGGAAAAGAAACAGGATTTTACACACGATAACGCACCGGCTCACACAGCGTTGGTTGTGTAGCAGTTTTTGGCCAAAAACTTCACGAATATCATCAACCAAGCACCGTACTCTCCAGATATAGCCCCATGTGACTTTTTCCTCTTTCCCCGACTCAAATTGACTGCAAATTGACACGCGTTTTGAGACCATAAAGATCATAAAAGAGAATTCGCTGCTTGAACTAAAGGCCATACCTTCGGCGGCCTATAAATGGAAAATTGGATCAAGCGTTGGCATGCTTGCATTGCCGCAGGAGGAGATTACTTTGAAGGCGATTATAAAGAAAATTATTAAAAATTAAAATTTTGCGTTTTTTTAACTTCTCATTCTTTTTTGATCAAATGGTACATTACTTTCAAATTAATTTTTTAATTTGATTATTATAGTAGTGAACTCACTATAGCAAATTAATGATACAAAATAATTAATTTGATATACTAATTATATCACTAACTAACAATACAATTGACTATGTTGACAATTTTAATAAAATAAAGATGTAAACAAAACAGCTGACTACTAACTTGTTTAAAATTTGTTTAAAATTTGAATAAAAGAAATGTGTAGTTGTGAACGCCAGTTTTCGTTCAAATTGATGAAACAAGTTTCATGAGTCGGTCTGAAAATAAGTTTATGTCAAACATATACATTAAAATAGAAATTCTTAAATTGTTACAGTTTTTTGGCATCTATAGAATCTGAAATTCAACCCGAAGTAATTAATTAAATCTTGCTGTTTCTAGTGCATAATAATCCTATGTATAGTGGTACCACTGGGAATACTATTGCTGAACATAGTTTGAGAAACTCTGCACTAAAATAAAATAAAATAGAAGTGGAAGCTAAAAAGTGAAAAAAAATCTGGTAGCATCATATATTTGAAAATCCGAATATTGTAAAAGTATATGAACATTTTTGAATTCAAATTGAAAGCCAGCATATATCTTACTCATGAAATTGTGAGGTTTTTTAACTTGCCGGTACTTATATGCGAATTACTTTTTTATGATATACATCTTATATTTTGCAATGAGAAATCGTCCTTCGTTTATATCTCTATGGTTGCGATTATTTTTCATTTTTAGATTAAGCAGGTCAAAATAAATCAAAAAACGTATAATTATTAAACAGGTGTTGACTTTTATATCATTTAGTAAAATAAATTTGCTTTAGAAATATTTACGGAGTTATTTAAGTGTTTCTGTATGGTATCTCATTTTAAAGCTTGTTCTATTGCGATCTACTCGTGTTTTTTGAAAATTTAATTTATTTTAAGATAAAGATTTAAGAAAAATAAAATAGAATAAAATATTGATATTAAATTAAATTTATGTCACTGATTAATAACTTATTCTGATTAAGTATATCGATTTAAGCATTTAAAGTCTTGCGTATCTATGAAAATTAATATTTACACATCCAAAGTCTATATTCAAAATATAAATATAAATTTTAAATTAAAAAATTAATCTCACACAAATATTTCATTTAATGAAAATCGATAATTAATATTTTAAAATTAATATAGTTTATATACATATATCAATAATGTGATTTTAATATTCATTTAATTGAAGTAATGAAAAAAAAACAATAAGTTAGGAA